GCCATGCCAGCTAATCACGGCTCTGCTGCGTCACGGCACGTTAGCTAATCACGGCTCTGCTGCATCACGGCACGTTAGCTAATCACGGCTCTGCTGCATCACGGCACGTTAGCTAAGCACGGCTCTGCTGCGTCACGGCACGTTAGCTAATCACGGCTCTGCTGCATCACGGCACGTTAGCTAATCACAGCTCTGCTGCATCACGCCACGCCAGATAATCACAGCTCTGCTGCATCATGCCACGCCGGCTAATCACAGCTCTGCTGCATCACGGCACGTTAGCTAATCACAGCTCTGCTGCATCACGGCACACCGGCTGATCACAGTTCTGCTGCGTCACGGCACGTTAGCTAATCACGGCTCTGCTGCATCACGCCATGCCAGCTAATCATGGCTCTGCTGCGTCACGGCACGTTAGCTAAACACGGCTCTGCTGCATCACGCCATGCCAGCTAATCACGGCTCTGCTGCGTCACGGCACACCAGCTAATCACGGCTCTGCTGCATCACGCCATGCCAGCTAATCACGGCTCTGCTGCGTCACGGCACGTTAGCTAATCACGGCTCTGCTGCATCACGGCACGTTAGGTAATCACGGCTCTGCTGCATCACGGCACGTTAGCTAATCATGGCTCTGCTGCATCACGGCACGTTAGCTAATCACGGCTCTGCTGCATCACGGCACGTTAGCTAAGCACGGCTCTGCTGCATCACGGCACGTTAGCTAATCACGGCTCTGCTGCATCACAACACGTTAGCTAATCACAGCTCTGCTGCATCACGCCACGCCAGCTAATCACAGCTCTGCTGCATCACGCCACGCCGGCTAATCACAGCTCTGCTGCATCACGGCACGTTAGCTAATCACAGCTCTGCTGCATCACGGCACACCGGCTGATCACAGTTCTGCTGCGTCACGGCACGTTAGCTAATCACGGCTCTGCTGCATCACGCCATGCCAGCTAATCATGGCTCTGCTGCGTCACGGCACGTTAGCTAATCACGGCTCTGCTGCATCACGCCATGCCAGCTAATCACGGCTCTGCTGCGTCACGGCACACCAGCTAATCACGGCTCTGCTGCGTCACGGCACACCAGCTAATCACGGCTCTGCTGCGTCACGGCACGTTAGCTAATCACGGCTCTGCTGCATCATGGCACGTTAGCTAATCACAGCTCTGCTGCATCACGCCATGCCAGCTAATCATGGCTCTGCTGCGTCACGGCACATTAGCTAATCACGGCTCTGCTGCGTCACGGCACACCAGCTAATCACGGCTCTGCTGCATCACGGCACGTTAGCTAATCACGGTTCTGCTGCATCACGCCATGCCAGCAAATCATGGCTCTGCTGCATCACGGCACACCAGCTAATCACGGCTCTGCTGCGTCATGGCACGTTAGCTAATCACGGCTCTGCTGCATCACGGCACGTTAGCTAATCACGGCTCTGCTGCGTCACGGCACGTTAGCTAATCACGGCTCTGCTGCATCACGCCATGCCAGCAAATCACGGCTCTGCTGCATCACTAAGGATTTGAGGTATTAAAAAAATCTCCTCACCTACAAGAGGCGGTAATATTGTTAATCTTCTCTTGCTCTGAGAGGCTCATTGGATTCATACCTTGAACACGACTGAACCTTCAGGGGTAAAAGATTTAAATGGGTTTTGTAATTGTAATTTGGTGTTACTTTTATTGGTCAACATAATTTTTGTTTAGGGCTGGAACTTGATAAAAAAAATTTAATCTAATTAATTACAGGCTTTGTAATTAATTAATCTCAATTAATCGCATTTTAAATATTCAGGAAAATGCGCTCTCAAAGTAAAACTTTTAATTAAAATTATGAGACAGAGAATCAAACAGTAGACATGGTTATTACTGTAAACTAAAGCTTTTATTTAAAAAATGCATTTTAGTTATTCACATGTCACTGTGTGATATGAAACAAGACCCAAATCAACTAAAATTTATAATTACAAATAGAAAACACCTGCAAAGGGTTCCTGAGCTTTTAAATAGTCTCTCTGTCTAGTTGAATGACTGAAATAAATTTGACTTTGCACCAGATTCTAATTTTTCCAGTTTTACTTGTTTGTATAATTGGGAGTTTGTATTAGCATTTCTACTCATAATGTAGTAAAAACACATAAATGAATAATAATCCTTCAAAATGACAGTAGAACAGGCACAAATATGATCTAGGACTTAAATGTACTAACTTTTAACACCAGAGCAGGCATGGCATATTCTGAGAATGATCAGGAACACTAACTGGTTCCAGTTGGATGACTGGAGGATGATGGGAAGATTAAAGATCATGGCGAGGAAATAATGATCTGACGAACAGGTGAGCGGACCTTCGTTACATGGGAAGTCCTGATGTCACGTTAAGAAGAGGATGCTGCAGACCCGCAGATTCACGCCTGCAGCAGCGAATCTGGTGTGATCTCCAGCCTGATCACGACTTCCTCGTTCCTCGCTGCCCCTGATGCACTTAAGCATCCGCCCCTTAGCTGATGACAGCTTCTACACACCTGCTGCTTAATGATAGTAATGCATGTGATGTTTAGACAGAGACTCGTCTCAGAAACGTATAACTCCCCGACAGAATTGTTTAGAAAATCATCAGAAAAGTTTCAGAGTGTTTCTGTTTTAACTTAAACTTCTGTTTTCAACTTTAAGACACGTTGTTTGTGATTGTTTACAGAGTAGTGAGAACACGGAGCGTTCTCCCAGCGGCAGCCAGGTGCCTCTCGTTTGTCTGACTACTTTCATAAAGTACTGTTAGGGCACAGAATTATTCTGTCTGGTGCTTTCAGCGCTGCACAGATGTTACGTAAATGTTAAAAATATAGCTTACCGCTACTTTTGTAAAGTTTCCGGTGCCACCGGGCAGCCGCAGCAGAGACGATCTCTGAAAAATGTCCGCGACACGGACTCCGTTGTTGTCTGGAAGTTTTATTTTCCAAGTTAAGAAAAGAGGCGGACGTGTTTCCTAAATCCTGCATCAGTCCAAGCAAGGCAGCTTCTTTCTGTTTTTATTCCGTTTTAGGAGCCATTAGCGCTGTGCATTGTTGTGTGCGTCAGTGATATTCGGTCTACGAGGAAGTCGTGCAATGACAAAGGTTCCGCCGTGCTCGAAATGCAAGCTGCGATTAAATGCGTAAATTTTTTAACGCGTTATTTTTTTCTAATTAATTAATCGTAATTAACGTGTTAAAGTCCCGGCCCTAATAATAATCTAATATAAAGGACAGGCGTTAATATGATCATTTTGCTTCTGCCTGAGCCTTTTCAGTCACTTTATATGTTATGTTTTATTGTTATATTATACTTTGTTATATTTCTGACTGAATAAATCGAATCAAAAAAATACTGGGAAAGATTTGTCAGCAACATAGACTGGAAAAGTGTATGGCTTCTTCCTAATCGATACTTGATAACTAATAAAGTTCAAGACATTTCATTAAAATTACTACATAAATCTATCCAAGGCTGCACAGTGGTGCAGTGGTTAGAGCTGTTGCCTTGCAGCAAGAAGGTCCCGGGTTCGCTTCCCGGCCTGGGATCTTTCTGCATGGAGTTAGCATGTTCTCCCTGTGCATGCGTGGGTTCTCTCCGGGTACTCCGGCTTCCTCCCACAGTCCAAAAACATGACTGTTAGGTTGATTGGTCTGTCTAAATTGTCCTTAGGGGTGTGTGTGTGTGTGTGTGTGTGTGTGTGTGTGTGTGTGTTTGTTTGTCCTGTGTGTCTCTGTGTTGCCCTGCAATGGACTGGCTCTCTGTCCAGGGTGTACCCCGCCTGATTGCCCGTTGACTGCTGGAGACAGGCACCAGCAACCGTTTGGCGAGTGCAGGCGCCGGTTTAGTGTGAGAGTTGGCAGCCCTGTGGACTCCGGTTCAGGCTTCACCGTCATGTCCCGTTCTCTTTCCGCTTTGCGGCTGGACAGCATCGTGTCTTATAACTCACGCCCTGCACCATGGACACTAGTCCTTTCTCTCCAGGCCAGATGACCTTGTCAAAAGCCTGTCTGGTACATGATAGTAATCTGTAGTATATTGTGATGCTAGCACATGAGTTTAAGCTAGCATCGTTAACTCATAAGCTGCCCCCCCGCTGCTTCTCCTCTATCTCTCTGCTTTGGCCGATGGTCCCTCTGGTCTGTATCTACTCTCTGGGGCGTGCGGCAAACTCATAACTTTATGGTTCTGGTCCATCAGAAGTGGAATAATTAACATTTAAAGTATCCTCTGTGTCAGAGCTGCATTAGAGTCCATATTTTCTCTGGATTAAGCTAACAGGACTCCAGCAGCTGAAGTCACTTAGTTTGGCAAAAAAAAAAAAAACATTCTCACAAGAATGACTCGAAAAGCCTAAATAATTAATGTTTGTGTAAAAAACGAGTTTCTATTATGTTTCTCTAAACATTGGTTCATGGGAGTCTCTAACCTGCATTTTCATCCAGTCGGATGAAGACTCACTTTGATACTTCGGCGTTCCCTCGGCACATGACTTAGCCATATTTTTAGATAATATAGTTTATCTTATCCTGTTTTAGTGTCTTATTTTATCAACATTTTTGCTTTTGTCTTTTGTTTTTATTTATAGTATATTCTGTGGGCCCTTGCTTGGGTCAGTGATGTTTTTAATTCTTTCGTGCATGTGCAGCACTCTGGCCCTCCCCTAGCTGATGAAAAGCGTGTTACATATAAAGTTTATGATGATGATGTGTACATCGTTGTGGTGATATTATCAGAGGACCATGTCCGTGGGCTCGTCACTTCTGGATGGGGAAAACTGAGCCAGGTATAGCGCGGTTTAGCCGCTTACATTCAGAAGAATTTGGTTTCCAGCCGCATGACCTCAGCTTGATTCGAGTCAGCTGGACTTCAGCCAGACCCCTAAGGCAGTAGTTCAGTTTTCTGACGCTGCATGTAAAGGGACTGAACGGTAAAATGGCCAGGAGAGATGTGTTGGTGTGCGACTGTGTGTACCTGCAGGATCATAGCCGAGGATGGAAGAGCCATTGGTTTGAAGGGGAGGAGCTCTGGATATGAAAGGCTGCTGCTGTGGAGGCATGGAGGCTTGGCAGGAAAGAAGGGCCCCTAAGGTCAGGGAGACAGGTACAAGTGAAGGAGGCATACCTGTGAGGTGTGCTGAAAGGATAAGGTAAGGTGTAAAATGTGGTTACTGCAAACACTTTAAACAATCTGGAGTTCTTTGCCGACTATCGTCTAATTACACTAGAGGGCGCTGCAGCATTAGCTTGCAGGAGACACAGCACCTCCTTCCTTTGTTTGGTAAGGAGAAAAACTGGCAACCTGGATATGAAATGTGTTTCAGTAGAACCTTCCTTCCAACATGACTGAAACATCAGACTCTTTTGGGATTTTCTCTGTAAAATTCTCACATTATTCTTGCATACTGCACCTTTAAGGTAAATCGCCTCCATAAAATTACAGGAGAGGCTCTGCTTGCATTTGTGAAGACCCAATTACACAGTTTATTAGCAACAAAAAACAGGTTATTTTGGTGTTGAGCTACTCCAGGAGCCCTGAAAAACACGCATAATAAGGCTCATCATAAAAAGACCTGTTTTACCTGCCCACTTCACCAGTGTGTGTGTGTGTGTGTGTGTGTGTGTGTGTGTGTGTGTGTGTGCGTGCGTGCGTAAGTGCGTGTGTGTGTGTGCGTGCGTGCGTGCGTGTGTGTGTGTGTGTGTGTGCGTGCGTGCGTGCGTAAGTGCGTGTGTGTGTGTTGGGGAATTTAAAGAGAGACAAGTGAAAGCAGAAACTAGTCTGGATTCCTCAGTAAGTTCCCACTCAGGCCTTAACTAACATTGACTAAAGAATATTTGCCCTACATTTAGGTTATCTGACATTTTTGCACCCATGCACATGTTCTGTGTTCTATTTCATACACATTTTGTGATTTTGTGAAATGTTTGTTTGTTCAATAAAGTTCTGAAAAGAAGAAAAAAGTCCCCATTGAAGCAGTGAGTCAAGAATGTGTGTGTGGCAAAGACAGGCTGCAGACTAGAGCCCTGCACTGAAGCCCTAGGCCCTCGGGCCGGGCCGGACATGGGCTCAGATTTTAGGCCCGTGCAGGGCTCTACTGCAGACTAAAGCCTGAGTCATGCTTCTCCGTCAGCTCCAACAAGGAGAGACGCACGAACGGAGACGTTTTGCTCTCATACTTCTCCGTCTCCTGGAGAGTGTTGTAAAGCAATTCCCCACCAGGACAGCAGAGGGCGTAGCGCTGTTCTGTGGTATCCTGTCATGTATCGGTCCAAGATAGCGTGTTTATATTGTGTTTTTTGTATATAAGAGACTTTTTAACACGGACATATTTGTCTCTCATCCTCCTCCACCTCTTCATGCGCTCCCCACCTCTAAACCCACGTTTCCTGTTGTTTCCTTCCACAAATAAAACGCTTGCTGCGCATCTTTTCACTCCTCCAGTCACGGTGAATTAAACGTTCATGTTTTTAGAGTTTTGTCGTGAGGTATTCTTCAAGCTTCTCCGTGTCTGCCGCTAGTTATCCTCGGCTCTCTTTATGTTTTTGAGGGCACAATGGCGGTGGTGTAGACGACAGCTGTGCCCTGACCAATCACAAGCTTGCGTTGTCCGTCTTGATGGACGGATGTTTAGAAGAGAGAGCTCGACTCCGTCCGTCCTTGCGGAGCTCTCCAGCAGGCCCGCAAGGACAGATAATGGCGTTGCGTGTCTCCGCGCTGACGCAGACACAGAAGCATGACTCAGGCTTAACAATGAAGGAAAGTACCGGACATTCACTCATAGTCTGGACTTAACCAGTATATCCTGGAACCTGAGAGGTGACTGCTGGTTTTTCTCTATTTCAACAAGGCTTTAGTTAGCTGAAGCTAACAGCTAGCTGGTGCTAACTTGGCCCTGCTGTAGCATTGCTGCGACCATCGTTTAAATAATGCTGATGCTGAAGTGGGCTGGAACATGCAGCTGTAGCAGGAGTGCTTACCTTGTGACTAGGGAAGCTTGCTCAGAAAAGGAGTTTTTCTCTCACCTTTTTCTAATTCACATAAAAAGTAGGTCACATACTTTGACCTTTTGGCGAGCTACTTTTGACCACCCAAACTGTCTGTATTCAACAACAACAACAAGGAAAATGTTGTGGTCTCCTTTAATGATGAAAATGATGAACAACCCAATGACCCTAGTGTGTCAAAGCTGGCTGTTGATCCAGACGTGGAGGATCCACAGGATGGCATTAATCAAACGCCGTTTTTACAAAACATTTCCGTCAATTTGCCGCAACGCCGTGGCGGCATCAGGGACCCTTAGGTTATTTAGAAGTGGTCAGACTGTGGCGGTAATGTGGTGTAATCGTGTCCTTCTTCTAAAAGATTAGGCAATGGTGGCAGTAAAGGGGTATGGCGGCGGTCTCTGCAATGCTGTAGACTTCTTTTTATCTTGGACATGTCTTGCTTTTTATAGCGATTGAAGCCGCAATCATTAAGTGTTTCTAACAAGCCGCTCCAAAAGGTGTCTGTCCCCATCAGTCGTGCAGTCTTTGGTTACCTGAAAAGGTTGGGTCTGTGGTAAGTGACTGGACTAAAGACAAGAGTGCATGCCTGTTCACAGACGAAATAGTCCTAAACAAACCAATTTGCTGAAACGAGTTGAGCTTCCAGAGATAGATGGTGACATTGAATTGCTGGACCAATGTTTCCAGAGCACTGGAACCATTAGAAGTAACATACGGCACTGGAAATGGACCTTATGCGATGAGAACCATGCTCGGCTGGACTGTAAACGGACCACTGACAGGAGACGGTGGAACTAAGACTGTCAGCAGCATGAATTAATGGTGAATACAATTTCTGTGGAGAACCTGGACAAACTCAAGTAGAAGCAATTCAAGACAGAATTTCCAGCATGCAGCCAAGAAGAACAGCTTGGAATGTTTGTGGAAGATAAAACATTCGTGGAACTGTTCATCAGTTAAACAAAACTGGTTGATGGACATTATCAGATCAGTTTGCCTTCAAGAACAAAGGAACAAAATAAAGTTGGTGGCGTGTCGTGCTATGCAACTGAAGACAACCTTTAAAAAGGTTCAGCAGTTCTACGCTGATTACGTTGCATTCATGAACAACCTTCTCCTGAAAAGCTTTGCTGAGAAGGTGCCTGAAAATCAACTGAAGCACATGAGCAACAGAATCTGGAATATCCCACATCGTGGTGTTTACCATCCACAAAACATAAACTATGAGTGGTCTTTGATTGTGGTGCCAGTTTCCAAGGAATATCTCTAAATACAAGGACCTGATGCAGAAAGGAACCTGTGGTGATCATGGCTGACATTGAGTCCATGCTTAATCAAGTGAAAGTCCCACCTGGTGATGCAGACCTTTTGAGATTTATTTGGTGGCCAAATGGAGACTTAAAGGAAGATTTCCCTGAAATCAGGATGACTGTGCATCTATTTGGAGCAACGCTAGTGATGGGTACCGAACTCAGTACTTTTTAAGACACCGACACATCATATGAAACGGTGCCTTGTTTTGGTACCCGTGTCGCGCCGGCGCAAGACGTTGTCAGTCACTGTGGGCGAGCTGTAAACAAAGCAGCATGGCAGAGAGGAAGCGTTCTGATGTTGGGTCCATTTCACTGAGTGGGATGGGTAACTGGGTGATGATGAAACCAGCCTCTAAGTGAGGCATCATCATCTTTATCTGCTCCGGTAGGTAAATAAAATGTTTGCGTTAAAGTTAGCTTGATATGTTAGCTTCCGTTCAGCTAATGGTACGTTCGCTTTCTCCTCTGAACTCTGAAATTCCGACTAGAAGAAATCGAATGCGCTCTGAAGTTTGCGGTGGAATGCTGGGTGATGATAAAACCAGCGACAACGATCTGAGTATGAGGCATCTTAATCTGCTCCAGCAGCTAAATTAACTGTTTAAGATAACGTTAGCTAGCTAGTTTAGCTTTTGTTAGCTAATGGTGCGTTCGCTTTCTCCTCAGATATTCCAACTTCTGAGTAGGAAAAATTAACAGTTTGAAAATGAACAGAAAAAGGAATGAAGATACTCAGTAAATGTAGTTCACAGCAGAGATGTTTGCTTCAATATAATTAGCAGTTTAAAAAACTACAAGAACCCACCATCACATAGTTTATAAAACTACAAGAACCCACCATCACATAGTTTATAAAACTACAAGGACCCACCATCACACAGTTTATAAAACTACAAGAACCCACTGTCACACAGTTTATTAAACTACAAGAACCCACTGTCACACAGTTTATAAAACTACAAGAACCCACTGTCACACAGTTTATAAAACTGCAACGACCCACCCTCACACAGTTTATGAAACTACAAGGACCCACTATCACACAGTTTATAAAACTGCAAGGACCCACCATCACACCGTTTATAAAACTACAAGAACCCACTGTCACACAGTTTATAAAACTACAAGAACCCACTGTTACACAGTTTTCAAAACTACAACAAACAACCATCACACAGTTTATAAAACTACAAGGACCCACTGTCACACAGTTTATAAAACTACAAGAACCCACTGTCACACAGTTTATAAAACTGCAAGGACCCACCATCACACAGTTTATGAAACTACAGCGACCCACCATCACACAGTTTATAAAACTACAATGGCCCACTGTCACACAGTTTATAAAGCTACAAGGACCAACATCACACAGTTTATAAAACTACAAGGACCAACATCACACAGTTTATAAAACTACAATGACCCACCATCACACAGTTTATAAAACTACAAGGACCCAACATCACAGTTTATAAAACTACAAGGGCCCACCATCACACAGTTTATAAAACTACAGGGACCCACCATCACACAATTTATAAAACTACAATGACCCACTGTCACACAAATTATAAAGCTACAAGGACCAACATCACACAGTTTATAAAGCTACAAGGACCCACCATCACACAGATTATAAAACTATAAGGACCCAACATCAAACTGTTTATAAAACTACAAGGACCCACCATCACACAGTTTATAAAACTACAGGGACCCACCATCACACAATTTATAAAACTACAATGACCCACTGTCACACAAATTATAAAGCTACAAGGACCAACATCACACAATTTATAAAACTACAATGACCCACTGTCACACAAATTATAAAGCTACAAGGACCAACATCACACAGTTTATAAAGCTACAAGGACCCAACATCAAACAGTTTATAAAACTACAAGGACCAACCATCACACAGTTTATAAAACTATAAGTACATAACATTAAACAGTTTATAAAACTACAAGGACCCATCATCACACAGTTTATAAAACTACAAGGACCCACCATAACACAGTTTATAAAACTACAAGGACCCACTGTCACACAGTTTATAAAACTACAAGAACCCACTGTCACACAGTTTATAAAACTACAAGGACCCACCATCACACAGATTATGAAACTACAAGGACCCACCATCACACAGTTTATAAAACTACAAGGACCCACCATCACACAGTTTATAAAACTACAATGACCCACTGTCACACAGTTTATAAAGCTACAAGGACCCAACATCAAACAGTTTATAAAACTACAAGGACCAACCATCACACAGTTTATAAAACTATAAGTACATAACATTAAACAGTTTATAAAACTACAAGGACCCATCATCACACAGTTTATAAAACTACAAGGACCCACCATAACACAGTTTATAAAACTACAAGGACCCACTGTCACACAGTTTATAAAACTACAAGAACCCACTGTCACACAGTTTATAAAACTACAAGGACCCACCATCACACAGATTATGAAACTACAAGGACCCACCATCACACAGTTTATAAAACTACAAGGACCCACCATCACACAGTTTATAAAACTACAATGACCCACTGTCACACAGTTTATAAAACTACAAGGACCAACATCACACAGTTTATAAAACTACAAGGACTCACCATCACACAGTTTATTAAACTACAATGACCCACCATCACACAGTTTATGAAAATACAAGGACCCACCATCACACAGTTTATAAAACTACAACAAACAACCATCACACAGTTTATAAAACTACAAGGACCCACCATCACACAGTTTATAAAACTACAAGAACCCACTGTCACACAGTTTATAAAACTACAACAAACAACCATCACACAGTTTATAAAACTACAAGGACCCACTGTCACACAGTTTATAAAACTACAAGAACCCACTGTCACACAGTTTATAAAACTACAACAAACAACCTTCACACTGTTTATAAAACTACAAGGACCCACTGTCACACAGTTTATAAAACTACAAGAATCCACTGTCACACAGTTTATAAAACTACAACAAACAACCATCACATAGTTTATAAAACTACAAGGACCCACTATCACACAGTTTATAAAACTACAAGAACCCACCATCACACAGTTTATAAAACTACAAGGACCCAACATCACACAGTTTATAAAACTACAAGGACCCACCATCACACAGTTTATAAAACTACAAGAACCCACTGTCACACAGTTTATAAAACTACAAGGACCCACCATCACACCGTTTATAAAACTACAAGGACCACCATCACACAGTTTATGAAACTACAAGAACCCACTGTCACACAGTTTATAAAACTACAAGGACCCACCATCACACAGTTTATGAAACTACAAGGACCCACCATCACACAGTTTATAAAACTACAAGGACCCACCGTCACACAGTTTATAAAACTACAATAACCCACTGTCACACCGTTTATAAAACTACAAGGACCCAACATCACACAGTTTATAAAACTACAATAACCCACTGTCACACAGTTTATAAAACTACAAGGACCCACCATCACACAGTTTATAAAACTACAAGGACCCACCATCACACAGTTTATTAAACTACAAGGACCAACATCACACAGTTTATTAAACTACAAGGACCAACATCACACAGTTTATTAAACTACAAGGACCAACATCACACAGTTTATTAAACTACAAGGACCCACCATCACACAGTTTATTAAACTACAAGGACCAACATCACACAGTTTATTAAACTACAAGGACCCACCATCACACAGTTTGTCCAGAGGAGAAAGGAGAGGAACAGGAGTCCATGGAGCTGGTTTAGTTAGTGAAACACCTAAATATTAAAAAACAAATTATTGTACAGTATCAAAGTTTGTTTTAGTTTCATCTGTAGTTTATAACACATGGTCTCCTCATCAGAGTTATTCCAGAGGGATTAGAAGAGGATTAGGAGTACATGGAGCTGGGTTTGCTTTTGCTTCATTTAGAAACTGTCGTTAAAAGTTTTCATGTTGAAGAATTTTATACAACACTACGATGATAAATACAGACAGTTGTATGTTATTTACCATGATGTTTATCAACTATGATTATATATTGGGAAAATAATAAATTTTTAATTATAAAACAATATAAATAATTATTAAACACGCAAAAGTATCAGAAATTGGTACCATTAAGTACCGGTATCGATTCGTAGGTACCAGGAATTCCCATCCCCTAGTTGTGCCAACTTCGCTCTTAGATGACGATCATCTGAGTAGAGAAGCTATGGATGAAGTGTTGCACTGTTTTTACGAGGATGACTGCTTGGCTTCAGGTGGAAAGCTGTCTCTTTTTATCATGAGCTTGTTGTCATCTGTGCCAAAGGAGGTTTCCAACTGAAGACCATCAGTTCACCTGCCACAACCAGGTGCTCCACGTAAGATTCCTGTCCGAGGAGTCCAGAGAATACTCAAGGAAGATCTCCAAGAGTGAAGAACCACAGGAAGAACTTCAGGAAGACCTTGCATCAGCAGGTACTGTAGTTCCAAAGAGAACTAGAAGCAATGCACTGAAAGGCCCGATTTAAGTTTGTGAAACGGCATTGGGAGAATCCTGTGGGTTACTGGGAGACGATAGTACGGTCAGATGAAACCATTCTACACATTGTGTTTGGCGAAGAAGTGGCACTGCTCACCCCCCAAGAACACCATACTAATGGTTTGGGGGTGGAATCAGCATGGGCTTCTGGCACACGTGTTATTAGTCGTAGGGACATTCTGGATAAAAGTGTGTTTGTGCGGGGGACATGAAGTAACCTCGTTTCAATTCTGTGTTTGTCGTTCACATATTAGTCTTCACAAAGAAAAACCAAAACGAACTGAGATGATGACTCAGTTAGGTTATCACTGATGGTCTTAGGACGCTGCTGCATGCTGCGTGTTCCTGTACCTTTTCTGCTGAGGACCTCCACCACTGCAGGGGGGAAGAAGCCCACTCGATCTGTGCCTTGCTGTGGGTCACGGATGCGGCCTTTCCACTGTCCATGGGCGTGCTGCTCCAGGACCTAATGCAAACAGATCCTGTTAGATGTGTGTGTCTCAGCTAAAAGACTGATAACAGGCACAACGTGTAAAACAGCCCTGTAATCTGATTACAACAATAACTACCAGCAGAGTAGCAGCTGATCAGTCAAGAGCTCAAGAACAGTACTCAGGAGCTTCAGAGTCTGACGTGTGTGACTCTAACCCTAACCCTCCATAGAAATTCAGACAACTGGAGTTCCTCAGGACATGACACTGGCTCAGATCCATCCACTTAAACACGGTCTTTAACGTGGCACAGCTGATTTCTGAGCAGCAGCAGCAGGAAGATGGTGGGTGATAATACTTTAGGATGGTTACCAAGACAAGATCTCCAGCCTGCATGCTGAGAGCAGTAGGGTCATGGAGGTTCCAGTAGTTCTTCAGCGCTCTAACCTGGACAGAACCTGATGCTTCTGCAAACAAAAGGAGTAAAAAGGAACAGCGTGGCAGTAAGGCAGCCGCAGCATTTCCCCGTCATCAGTCTTCATGAATGATCCAAACCTCTGAGCAGCTCTTTGATCTCCCTGCTAGCTGTGGTGGTGGTGAACTGGTTTACAATATCCAGAGCTGTTTGGTTGAACGTGTTACGCATGTTCACATTGATCCCCACCTGGTACACACACACACACACACACACACACGCACACACACGCACACGCACAATGTGACAGTATCAGCATTGAGAAACATTAAAACTGAGTCCTTGTAACCTTCTCTCGTCAGTAGGACACAAACATCTGGTCCTTACATCGAGCAGCAGCTGCACTACTTCGGTCTTCCCATAGAGGGCGGCTTCGTGGAGGGCTGTCCCTTCTTTAGTGGCTTTGTTGATGTCGACCCCAGCCTTCAGCAGCAATCTGGGAAGGAGAACCAGAAACAACAGTGTTAAACCACAGGTACAAATCAGAGACCCCCCTCATCCACCCCAGGTTTTCTTCTACATGGAAGTGATCGTGGTGCACAGCCACAGCTAAACAACAGCGGCCACACCTTCAGAATGGCTTTTTTTAATGTTTTCTTATGTTATATCTATATATCTATCTATCTATCTATCTATCTATCTATCTATCTATCTATCTATCTATCTATCTATCTATCTATCTATCTATCTATCTATCTATCGATATCTATCTATCTATCTATCTATCTATCTATCTATCATCTATCTATCTATCTATCTATCTATCTATCTATCTATCTATCTATCTATCTATCTATCTATCTATCTATCTATCTATCTATCATCTATCTATCTATCTATCTATCTATCTATCTATCATCTATCTATCTATCTATCTATCTATCTATCTATCTATCTATCTATCTATCTATCTATCTATCTATCTATCTATATATCTATCTATCACCTATCTATCTATCTATCTATCTATCTATCTATCTATCTATCTATCTATCTATCTATCTATCTATCTATCACCTATCTATCTATCTATCTATCTATCTATCATCTATCTATCTATCTATCTATCTATCTATCTATCTATCTATCATCTATCTATCTATCTATCTATCATCTATCTATCTATCTATCTATCTATCTATCTATCTATCTATCATCTATCATCTATCTATCTATCTATCTATCTATCTATCTATCTATCATCTATCTATCTATCTATCTATCTATCTATCTATCTATCTATCTATCTATCTATCTATCTATCATCTATCTATCTATCTATCTATCTATCTATCTATCTATCTATCTATCTATCTATCTATCTATCTATCTATCTATCTATCTATCTATCTATCTATATCTATCTATCTATCTATCATCTATCTATCTATCTATCTATCTATCTATCTATCTATCTATCTATCTATTTATCTATCTATCTATCTATCTATCTATCTATCTATCTATCTATCTATCTATCTATCTATCTATCTATCTATCTATTATCTATCTATTATCTATCTATCTATCTATCTATCTATCTATCTATCTATCTATCTATCTATCTATCATCTATCATCTATCTATCTATCTATCTATCTATCTATCTATTATCTATCTATCATCTATCTATCTATCTATCTATCTATCTATCTATCTATCTATCTATCTATCTATCTATCTATCTATCTATCTATCTATCTATCATCTATCTATCTATCTATCTATCTATCTATCTATAAATATATATATATATATATATATATATATATATATATAGAGAGAGAGAGAGAGAGAGAGAGAGAGAGAGACAGAGAGAGAGAGAGAGACAGAGATAGAGAGAGAGAGAGAGAGAGAGAGAGAGAGAGACAGAGAGAGAGAGAGAGACAGAGATAGAGAGAGAGAGAGAGAGAGAGAGAGAGAGAGAGAGAGAGAGAGAGACAGAGAGAGAGAGAGAGACAGAGATAGAGAGAGAGTGAGAGAGAGAGAGAGAGAGAGAGAGAGACAGAGATAGAGAGAGAGAGAGAGAGAGAGAGACAGAGAGAGAGAGAGAGAGAGAGAGAGAGAGAGAGAGAGAGAGACAGAGAGAGAGAGAGAGAGAGAGAGAGAGAGAGAGAGACAGAGAGAGAGAGAGAGAAGAGAGAGAGACAGAGAGAGAGAGAGAGAGAGAGAGAGAGAGAGAGAGAGAGAGAGACAGAGATAGAGAGAGAGAGAGAGAGAGACAGAGAGAGAGAGAGAGAGAGAGAGAGAGAGAGAGAGAGAGAGACAGAGAGAGAGAGAGAGACAGAGATAGAGAGAGAGAGAGAGAGAGAGAGAGAGAGAGAGACAGAGAGAGAGAGAGAGAGAGAGAGAGAGAGAGAGAGAGAGAGAGAGACAGAGAGAGAGAGAGAGAGAGAGAGAGAGAGAGAGAGAGAGAGAGAGAGAGACTATATTTGTGCATTTATACTAAGCATAATCAGGGTTTGAGATGATCTTAAATAAAATAAAACGCTAAAACCGAAGGTATGGCTTTTACCAAGGCCCACCCATTCTAAGTTAGTTGACTTACTTTTAAATTTGAAAACTGTCCCTGAAGTAGCTGCCGGCTTCTGATCCACTGTCCTTTTGAAAATACCGCGGTGTATTCTGGGTAATTTTTGACCAAGGCTAGGCTACATGACACCTCCCGTGCATCCTTGCTCTGCTAGCTAAACGGCTAACAAACGGAGAACACATGCGTCGGTAGAACATGAACATTAGAACACGCCTTTGCGGCACCCGATGATGTATCTCCTAGGCAACCGGGGCGTGGCCAAGACATCAAGCCGAGGTTCCTTGGCATTGAAAAGCACCCTGGATGTTTTCTCTAGACATCTATAAATCTATTTAACATTTCAGATGAGCAGCAGACTGAAGTTAACTTCTGATAGTGGTTTAAAAACATCAGTTGTAGGTAGTAAATATGGCAGATTTTTGGTGTTTCGCCAGGTTGTGACGCTGATACAGCAGCGACCATCATCTCTGTTGCTGCTGATCACAGCTGCTCTCTGAGGGACAGAAAATCAGTCAGCTTTGTGCTGATTTTTTAGATTTAATATTATTTTGATGGAAACTTTTGGGGTTTTTAACAGCTTCCACATCATGTTACTATAGTCACATTTTATTTAGACATTATATTTATAGATGGTCTTTTCTCTTTATTGTTAAAGGTTCCAGACGTGCTGTCGTACTTTTCCTTTTCCGACATTACTTATTTAAAGACCAAGTTCACTGGTGCATTCCAACACGTCTGCGTTGGTCTCTAGTATACAGGAATGTCTTGAGAGTTCATCTCTGTGGGGAACAGCTCTGGTGCTCCTGTTTCAGCAACAAGGAGAAAATGGCAGCATGTGGAGTTGTACCATCTACTGATATGCCTCTGATCAGCTGGCTTTACATTTAACATGCTCATGCTGGAGGCCCATCCTGCAGGTTGCAAAACAGCAGGAGACAGCCATTTTCCTTATGACCCCCCCCCCCCCCACACACACACACACACACACACACACACATTACTCTCTGAAAATTTACTGTTTATTTTACTGTCTCCTGTCATGTCTTCATGGGTGCTGTACCCTGCGCCCAAAGGCCCTCCTATTCTTTCTATTGGGGGGGTTCCAGCATGCATGCACCAGTTATCGTAGGTCTATGGTGAGATTGCTGCACCCAAAAAGTAACAGGAAATACGTCACAAGACCATTCGGTTGTGTTAAAAATGTAAATAACATCTTTAACCTACATGCCCAAGTGCAGATTCTACACAGCACCTGTAATCTGTGTGATGTAGAGATTGTTTAGTCATGTTTGAATATTTTGTGGTTCCTATCTTCTTCTTCCTGTGAGACTAGTGGGGCAATGCCCTAGCGGCCCCTAAGGGCGAGCATCCACTTACCATTCCCTCATCCAGACAGATAGACAGAGACAGTGGCGTAGCAAGTTTGAGCTGGGCCCCGGTGCACGTGTCACACTAAGTTTTCATTAGCCTGTTTTACAAGACACACCATGCCGGCGTAATATTACCGCAGTGGTATGTCTAAAAACGCGCCATGCCGGCATGGCGTTGTGCGAATTTTGCGGCATTCGTTCCGCCTCGCTTGGTAGTAATGTTGGGGTAATGGTCTGTCGTATGCGCCCTGGCGCAACAGAGGCAGATGTCATGATGACGTGGGGAGTTATTGCTGAGCTCTGGCTGGCAAATTTACTGAAAATGAAAGTAAACACGGGCAATAAGGTTTGCTTTTTGAACTAAATCAGCTGACGTGGCAAACTGGAGCGCCGCAGCGCTCCACGAGCCTCTCTGTTAGAGCTGAAGCTCAGATCACCAGAGACTGCACAGGGACTGATGGGGACAGACGCCTTTAGGAGCTGCTTGTTAAAAAAAACTGAACGATCACGGCTTCAATCGCAATAAAAAGCAAGTTATGTCCAAGATAAACGAAAGTCTGCGGCGGTGCAGAGACCGCCCCATACCCCCTTTATGCCGCCATCACCTAATCTTTCATAAAATTGCCACGATTGCGCCACATTACCGCCACGGTCTGATCTTATAAACAACCTTTATCTTCCCCAGGGAGCCGCGGCAAATCCGGTTTTGAAAACGCTCTGGTGCTGTAAAAACAGCTCGTGTGTTTAGGACAGGGGTATTTGGGTATCCAGCAGGTTTTAGTTTAACCTGCTTCAAAACACCGGATTTCAATCAGCAGGTGACTTTCAGGCTTCTGCAGAGCTGAAGAGCTGCTGCAGGTGATTCAACCACTGAACCTAGAGTGTTGGAGCAGAGAAACCACCAAAACATGCTGGATACCGGCCCTCCAAACCCAGAAATGAACAATCCTGGTTTAGGGGTTTATACTGAGCTTGCTCAGTGGAGGACAAACCAGAACCAGAGCCGGGTTGGGTCAGGTGGGGTGGGTGAAGGACCGCACCAGGGATGCTAGCATTACAAACACTGTAACAGCAGCTACTCTGATGTTCTCTCACTAAATAGGATATTTACTAAGAAATCACAATGTAACCATGTGTGTGTGTGTGTGTGTGTGTGTGTGTGTGTGTGATTTGGCGTTTGATAAATAAACTTGAACTGAAATGATGTCTATGCTGGGACCATAAACCAACAGTCAGTGGACCAGAACTAGAACCGGTTCCGGAGGAATCAGGAGCAAAACTAGTTAAAACACAAGAACTATCATTTCCCTCACTTGATGATGTCTTTGTGTCCATTTCTGGCTGCCAGATGGAGGGGGGTGGTCGAGTCCTGGCTGTCCTTCCTCCCTCCTTCTAACAGCCCCGTCACCATGTTACTGTTCAGCAGCAGCTCACACACCTACAAATGAAAACAATCAGGGGTTAAAAAAATGGCACTGTAGAATAAAACTGTCCACACACACACACATTAGGGATGCTTGATATGGCTTACATACAGTACACGATATTGTCTGACTCTTAATTTCTGATCCCAATATATGCTCCCCCTCCCAAAGAAAACACTACATCATTCTAGGATGCTAACATTACATTGCTCCAGTCATGGAGGCTTAAACTGTAAAATTTCTGTGCAAAACGACAACTAGCTTAAGTTAAGTTAGTAAGAGGAACAAGTGTGACGTTTCATTTGTCTCCAACAGCAGCTCAATGACATTGTCCCCGAGATAATCCTGACAAACCCTCTGTGACACCTTCAGGCTAACGACATTTATTAGGTTCATGATGAAGGGAAGGGTTAGGGTTAGTCATAACCCCCCCCCACCCCCCCCACCCCCACCCCCACACACACACACACACACACTCACACACGCACACACACACACTAAATAATACAAACACTTTCCTTTTAACATAATTCTGATACAGAACCAAAATCCCACTCTCGTAACAACATTCATGAACGAAAAACGTTAGTGGGATGAGAGCTGAAATGTCCGTCAGGACCTGTTGCATATCGGGCTGTCATCAAATACACAGCGCCTGGATCTCTGGGACTTGGAGCTCCCCCCGTCTCCTACACATCTTTGGGGGGCAGATCTGTGGCCCCTCACACTCTCTATTGGACGCTCCTATAGAGAAACCTTACATAAACAAGCGCGTGTACACACATGTCTTAAGGCTGTGGATGGCACTAAATGCACTGTGATTTATTATCGTGTGATTGTTCAGTAAAACAATGTTGATTTTATATTTCCTCATTGAGTTGATGCAGTGATAGCTTGCTCCTGTTGTATTGTTGTGTGTCCCTTTCTGCAGGTCTAGAAGCAGACTCTTGCTCATCATTGATTGTTTATTTTTTCTGTCAGCGGCTCTTGCAGAGACTCTCATGTCTATCAGGTCTGACACACTGGCGCTGAAAAGGGACCTGTCCTCAGGGATTGCAGCCGTAGACATAGGCAGACTAGACGGGAGTGAAAAGCACGGTAACAGAAATGGAGTGGTTTCTTTCCACATGTACAGATGTTCATCTCCGAGCTAAAATGGATGCCATGTCAAAGGAGATGGCTGTGTTGGAATCCAAATACGGATATGCAACATGGTCATCTCCAACTTCTCTGACCAAACCGCCAAAATAGCCCAGGCTCATGCAGCTTTTAACAACATTCGGGGCCAACTGCAGAGCATGGAAGGAGCTTGGTTTGGTATCTTTCATCCAGCTAAGCTTTGCGTCATGGACCAAGGGGTGCAACGAGATTCCATCTCATCAAAGGATTGTAAAACCAAATTCCAAAATTTGACGACACAAATTCGCGATGTAGATCGACTAATCCCACTCCTGATTTACATGAAAGACGACTTAATTTACAGACTGAATTTGATTTACCCTCTGCTGTGGATGATGAACGACTGCTACTTCGTAGTACGAGCAACGCATCATGAGCATGGGTCTAAACCGAGTAGACTCACCAATCAAAATGTCAGACTTCCTCTCAATTGATATCCCAGCTTAAAAACACAGAAGGCAATTTGATCGCTAATCCTAAAGAGGTGAATGAGGTGTTTAAAAATTATTATTCCACTTGGTATACTTCTGAATCTGCTGCTAATCTCCCCGAAGTGGATTAGCTTTTGGACACTTAGGATGTCAACTGTTGATCCTGTTGTAGCAGAGCAGTTAGATGAGCCACTTAGATGAACTTATACGTGCAATTAAGACCACGCATAAAGGTAAAAGACCGGGCCCGGAAGGCTTTTCTGCTCTGTTTTTCAAAACACTTAAAGACAAGCTGGCTCTATTGCTTTTATCAGTGTACAGCAAATCATCTGAACGTGGTCTATTGCCCCTACACTATCTCAAGCATGTATCATGGTTCTTCTGGAGAAGGACAAAGGCCCGACATCTTGTACTTCATATAGGCCCATTTTACTTCTCAATGTAGGTGTTAAAATTTTAGCTCAAATTTTAGCAACTCATATTGAAAATGAACAAATGTTTTCCAATAAATCCATTACGTCTTGCAATTAAACAATCTGATATCCCTTTGAAGCTTAGCCCCTCTGGATTCAAGTATTTAGGAGTCAATGTGACTCATACTTTATCCTCTTTATATACTTCTAACTTCTCACCTCTGATCACCCAGCTCAAATCTGACTTCCAAAGTTGGAATTCATTACTTCTGTCTCTAAGTGGCCCAATAGACACTTATGTTGTGTAATGTCTGAAGTCTGTTGCATTTCTGTCTGAGGTGTTTTTTGCAGAGCAAAGCTGCCCTCTCTGTGGAGGGTAACTCTGAAGTGCCTTTTTTCCCTCCCCTGACTCTATCCTCATATAAACCCTCTTGATCTATTAAGGTAGCGCGACTCGGGTTGTGAATGACCACAGTCACCAATTCTTGCCATGTGTCTATGTATGTATGTCTGATATCAGAGTTGTGTGTACTGAAACTCTAATTATCCTCTGGGATTAATGAAGTATCTTTGAGTTGAATTTGAATTTAATTGAATAGACGCGGTCAAGATGAATGTCCAGCCCTGGTTGCTGTTTTGGGTTGTGGGTGGGTGTTTCTGCCTGAAACGTGTTTCAGACAATTAGATCAGCTGGTTCTGCCATTTGTGTTGGGAGGGAATCATCCCAGAGTGAGGAAATCATTATTATTTAGATTGAAATTTGATGGTGGGCTTGCTTTGCCTACCTTTCTACTTTATTACTGGTCTGCTCATTTTCATGGATGAACATATTGGCTAGATTCCTGCGAGCTGTTGTAGTGTAAGTTAGAGCACTTCCACCTGCTAAGAGGCGTGTTCTCTGTTATTGTTCAAGCTGACTCGCTTCACAACTAATCCCGTGGTACAAGCTAGTCTTAGGATTTTGTCACAATACAGGAATCATTTTAAATATACTTCCCCATCCGTACACATGCCCATCACTCTAAACCATTTATTTCCTCCTGGTCTGGTCTCACTGATGGTACATATGTCCAATGGAGATGTCATGGAATTGCCACCTTTGAGGACCTCTATAGGAATGGTGCTTCTTGGAACTTTTCACGCCTCTCTTCTAAAGCAAATCTTCCAGCCTGTTCTGTTTTTTTCATGTTCGACATTCCTTCCTCAAATTGTTATCTCTCACATCCGATAAAAAATAGATTAGATGCCTGATGTATAACCAATTTACGGTCTCGGATGCGGATTTGGTCGAAGTTAGAAGAGCTTGGGAACAAAAGTTAGGTGTAATGTGTTCGGATCGTTGACAGGAAACCACGGTGTTTAACATCCGTTATAGTGCATCATGTGCTAGCTCACAACTTATTTAATTCAAGGTTGTAGCTAGCTCACAACTTATTTAATTCAAGGTTGTATAAGGAGCTCACTATTCAAAACCTCACCTGTCTAAGATCTATCTAAAGTACAGGCCAAAAGCTTGGACACAACTTCTCCTTCAATGTGTTGACTTTATGTTCATGACCATTTACATTGGGAGATTCTCACTGAAGGCATCAAAACTATGACTGAACACATGAGGAGTTATGGACTTAACCCAAGAAGGTGAAATAACTAAAAACATGTTTTGTTTTCTATTTTCTTCTAAAAGCCACCCTTTGCTCTGATCACTGCTTTACACTCTTGGCATTCTCCTGATGAGCTTCTAGAGGTAGTCACCTGAGATGGTTTTCCAACAGTTTTGAAGGAGTTTCCAGAGGTGTTAGCACTTGTGGACCATTATAAGTCACAAAAGCTTCATTTCCACTGACCTTTTTGGCATGGAACAAGGAGGGTCGGCTTGCAAATTTTTCTGTCCCCATTGTAAGACCGGTCCAGAGAATCTACCCGGATCATGCCAGTCACAGTACTTTTTGCCCCTCTTCTGTTGAAGGTCCAGAATTGTCTAGATCGGTATGGTTAGGGTGAAGCAACAACACAGTCCACTAATTGGAGGACAGACAGTGTTGACACAGTGCCAATAGTAATCTGATTACTGACTACTGATTACTCCTTCCAAAAGTAACTTAGTTATTTTACTGATTCAAATAATTTAAAAGGTAACTAAGTTAGATTATGAGTTACTTTGTTAGTTACTTTCAGCATCTACCAAAAACACTCTCCGCTGCCTCAACATAAAAACTACATCTGGTTTTGCCAACACTCACGTTACTGCAAATGCTTTTTAACAGTGATGTCAACAACGTGTCTTCTTCCATTTAAAGTTGAACTTTAACCCTGTCGCCTGACATGATGCAGGTTTGTATGAAAATAAAATAAAAACAGTCTTTCTTGACCTCACTTAAAACAAATAGTATTCATAAAAAATAAAACACACAGAGCCAGCACAGAGTGTACAACCAACCTTAATATTTTCATCTTTAGCTGATACAAACTCTGAACAGTGACTACATTTCCAGCTAGAAAACACACCTCTCTCTCCTCCCGCCATTGTTGATCACGCTGTAGTCCAGGGGTCTGCAACCTTTTCCCATCAAAGAGCCATTAGTACCCGTTTCCCACAGTAAAGACAACACTGGGAGCTGCGGCGTTGTGGGCGGGGCCTACCCTCAGACAGCAGAGAGCTGCTTTAACCGATCACAACAGGTGACAGCAGCCAAACCCAGTCGCTCGTGTACCTTAAAGTTACCTTTCAGCAGAAGATAATAGATAAAACAGTGTGTATGAAACTGACCCAGAACGTGTAGCCCGTCTGTGTCGACAGTACTTAGATATTTTCACCCTGTCGGTGGTTTTAATGTTGCAGGTGATGCTTTTTGACGCGTCACACGTCTCCTTTTAAAACATGTTTAAACTGTTCAGAATACAAATCCAGGCTCTGTCTCGATGGATTGTTGTAGTTAAACTTCGTGCTGAACTGAACTTTACATTAAACGTTGTTGAAAAGGTAAGAAAAGGATCCGATCTATTTGTTTTTGCCTCGTTTACAGAGATGGAGGTAACGGCGTAGTGTGCGTGGCTCTGGTGCTAATCAGGTTTAACGTTCCTGTTTGCAACAATCTTCACAAGAAGGTAAAACAGTCACATGACAGGGTCACACTGACTGGATATTTCTAATGTAGACGGCTCGTAACATATTTCAGGACAAGCACCACCGCAAAGGAGCGACTGTTCCAGGTGCAGGAACAAATGGGAAGGCAGCCCATTCCACAAAATGTGGAATGGGCTGCCGAGTGTCAACTTCCACAAAATGATTGGGGAAGTTGACACTCGGAACAGTACATTCCAAATGTTTCAACGCGTGTACGACCTGAGAGAGCCAGTGGGGGCTGCCCTGGCCTCCTTACCAACAGAAACGTCCCCACTGACAGCACCGGAGTATGACAGCATTAAGGACACATGGCTGCATGGTGGCGCAGTGGTTAGCACTGTTGCCTCGCAGCACGAAGGTTGCAGGTTCGAAGCTCGGCTGCGGCCTTTCTGCGTGGAGTTGCGTGTTCTCCCCATGCATGCGTGGGTTTCCTCCGGGTACTCCGGTTTTCCCCACAGATCATAACATGCTCTATAGGTTATAAACTGTAAGTCGCTTTGGATAAAAGCGTCTGCTGAATAAATAAACATAAACATAAGGACGCCTTATGCATCCTTGCTCCATTCCACCAAGCAACAGTGGAGCTCTCATCTGAGAAGAGGGTGTCAGCATCAGAAGTAATACCTCTGATGGCAATGGTTCATCATGCTAGTGGAACCAGAACTCTGACTTTGAGTACCAACATGCCAAAGCAGCTGAGCGAAAACATGGTGAGAAGACTGCGTGACCATACACATCACTTGAGCCCCCTTCAGACAGGACATGAAAAACGGAAATGTTCCGGAATCTGTCCGTAAGACCTTTGTGTCTGAATACAAACATCCGGATAACGTGTTCCGTAATTTAACCGGTCGGCGCCCCTAGTAACAGGTCCGGACTTGTTACGGACAGGGTGGCTGCTTCAGACTGGTGAGGCCGAGTTTCGGACAGGGAGGAGGGGGAGGAGGAGGGGACCGGGGGACGCTGTGCGCACCTAGATAGCCCGCTGCTGCATGCGGCGAACCATGGCAGCTCGCCTCCTACGGTACCGCCTAGACGCGCGACGGAGCGCTTCACACCGCTTCAGTGATTCCTTTAACCATTGAGCTTCATCATCCAGGTCTCTTATGCATCTTCGTGTGCGCAGAATTATGCTCAACATAAGTCCGATACCCCCCCCCCCCCTCCCCCCTCCCTCAGACATCTGGAACTTTTCCTTGCTGTGTGAAGGCAGCCGAAAGGACAAGTTCCGGTACAAAAGTGGTGTGTCTGAAAACACAGTTCCGGTTAAAAACCGGATTGAGTTGTCCGCAAATGTTCCAGAATGTCTGTCTGAAAAGGGCTTAGGAGTCTGTTAGAGTTTTGACACTACCAACACTGCTGGATGCCAGGTTTAAAAAACTAGCCTTTGTGAGTCCTACAAAAGCACAAGAAGCAGTGACTGCTACAGCCCCCCCCCCCCCCCCCCCCCCCCCCCCCCCCCAACTGCCTCTTGTCTCCCAATTACTCTAGACGTCAGCTCCTTTTGTATTTAAACCCTCCCAGTTCTGTGTTCCTTGTCTGTTCATTGTTTACTTGTCAGAGTGCTTTTCATTAAAACTCTTAAAACGTCCTCACCGGCCTGCCTGTTTAGTTCACCTGCGTTTGGATCCTCACCACAGCAGCACTGGGACAATTATGCATGGTGGTTTTTAAAGTTTAAAGCAATGGTAAAATTGATTCTTGTACCTTCACTCTGCCAAACTCACAGGCAAGGTCCAGTGGAGTCTTCTTGGACTTGCTCAGGAGACAAGGATTGGACTGGTGTTGGAGGAGCATCTCAGACTAAGAGCAAAGAGAGCGACACACTGTTAGCCAACACTCCAGTTATATATCACACCTAACCCTTAATGCTTTGGAAATCAAGGCCGTGTTTTTCTACCCTAGACAGTTGCCGAAGCAAAAGGATTTTGCTCTGGGTTTGGTATATTTTCACATATATAGGCACCCTAAGTCACGCCCATCTACTTCTGGACCACGGGTCTCCGGAAGAACAAAAAAATGAATGCAAGTCAACGGGGCTAAAAATGCTATTTTCCAACTCCTCCTATGATGTTCGTGAATTTTAAAGAAGCTTTTTGATACCAAGAACGTGCTTATTTTCAAACAGGGGGAAACGCTATTTTAGGTTTTGTGTGACAATAAGTCCAGAACTACAAATACACTTCATGAAAGTGACGTCATCGAGCCAGACACGGCAAAAAATAGAGGGAAAACAGCTGTAAGTTCAGCAAACTTGAAATCCTTCCTTCAGAAGGAAAGAAACACCATAAACCTGGGAGATTCTGTGGTGACGTCATACATGCGACGTGCCAACGTCTAATTTGTAGCCATGCTAACTACAAACTTTTACATGCTGACAAATCTCAAAGTACGTGACTGGTGTGGTCGAAACAAACATCATTAGTTCTCTTTTAAATTGCAGTCCAATGTGTGTGGTCCAGGGCGTAAGGCAAAGCGGATTAGAAAATAGCGTTTTTAGCCCCGTTGACTTCCTTTCATGTTTTCGTTCTTCCGAGGACCCATGAGCCGACCGGACAGGGAGGAGACTTAGGCTCCCTATTGGATGTATTGCCAGGCTTGTGTTTTTCCTCACCACCTCGTAGTGTCCGTACTGCGCAGACAAATGCAACGGGATCTGTCCGTCACAGGAAGGGGAGTTGGCTGAAGCTCCAGCTCTCAGTAATAATAAGGCGGAGTCGGATTTTCCCTGCCATGCTGCATAATGGAGGGGACGCATTCCTTGGGACAACAGCAGGACATGAGAAAAGAAAATGTTGCAGTTATCAGAGACATCCTTATTGTTAATGAATAATACTTCAAACAAGATCTAATGCAGAGAAGTTGGAATGTTGTAGAAAATACAAAAGTACAACAAAAACTAAGCAGCACTTGTTAAAGTAGACTTTGGACAATCGATTTGAAAGAATAAACCAAAAATATTTCATGTTTGTTCTGATCTGTTGCCTCTTATTTAAAGTCCCATTAGTTGTCACACACACAGGTGTGTGTGCGAAATTTGTTCTCCGCATTTGACCCATCCCCTGGGGGAGCGGTGAGCTGCAGACACGGTCGCGCTCGGGAACCATTTGGTGGTTTAACCCCCCAATCCAACCCCGTAATGCTGAGTGGCAAGCAGGGAGGCACTGGGTCCCATTTTTTCAAAGTCTTTGGTATGACCCGACCAGGAATCGAACCCTGATCTCCCAGTCTCAGGGCAGACACTCTACCAGTAGAGCCACTCTACCACTGAGCTGGTTTTAATTTATACACAATAAATGCAATCTGATCCAAAATGGTGGACTTTTCCCATTCATGTCTCATTTCCATTACCACGAGTACCCCCTTAGTACTCACCACAGCTGGTGTGAATGTTCTGCATGGACTCAGTGATTTCTGATCCATGTGAAACTGGACCGCATCCATTCTGCATTCAGTGTGAACGAGGCTTCAGGCGCTCTCTCAGTCGCAGCTGCAGCCCTGCTCTGGTTTTCCTTCACAGTGTGTCTTAACCCTGGTCCTCAGCTCCCCCTGTCCTACATGTTTTAGGTGTTTCCCTGCTGCCACACACCTGATCTAGATGAATGAGCGATTAACAGGTTTGTGCAGCACTTGATGTCATCCTGAGAAGGTGATGCAGATATGTAAATCAGGTGGGCTGAAGCAGAGACATGGAAAGCATGCAGGACTGGGGGGCTTGATAAAAGCTGGTTTATTATTCATTTGGGAAGGAATGGGTCATATGGTCTCAGACCTATATCACAGTATATGATATGATATGATATTATTTATTTATTTATTTATTTATGTCAAAATGACTGGTTTTACTATCTCAGACATCAGATGAATTTCAACAGAGCAAATATTTTTAAAATTTACTGAAGTACATGTAACCTTCCAAACTTATTTAAAAATAAACTTTTCACATACTTTTTCTTTTGTTTTATGATTTATTCTTGCATGTTCTCCCTGTGCATGCGTAGGTTCTCTCCGGGTACTCCGGCTTCCTCCCCAACACATTCTCACACCCAAGGTGTCAAAATATGATGCGTGACCAAGCCTCAATACATGACGATTCGGGACGCCCCAGCGAGTCCGGAGACGACGATCAGGGACACGTGGCTCCGCTGGTGTCACTGTCTGACACGCGCGGTCACACGGGCATTATTTGACTCTTTAACCTTCCCCTCACCCCAATCCTAACCTTAAGGTCACAGTTTATGGACTTTAAGGTTAGGATTGGGTGAGGGGAAGGTTAAGTAGTTCACAAGTAGTTCTAATGTCCGTCTCACCAACGGCGTACCGAAGCTCTGAGATGCTACGTCAGCTGTTTGTCCCTGATCGTCGTCTCCTGACGTGCTGGGGCGTCCCAAATCATCATATATTGAGGCTTGGTCACACGTGTCATATTTTGACGCCTTGGGTGTGAGAATGTGTTGTCCTCCCACAGTCCAAAAACATGACTGTTAGGTTAACTGGTCCGTCTAAATTGTCCTTAGGTGTGTGTGTGTGTGTGTGTGTGTGTGTGTGTGTGTGTGTGTGTGTGTGTGTGTGATTGTTTGTCCTGTGTGTCTCTGTGTTGCCCTGCGATGGACTGGCTCTCTGTCCAGGGTGTACCCCGCCTGACTGCCCGTTGACCGCTGGAGATAGATAACTGTGATATCCTTTTTTTTAAAATATAACTCAAATTTATTAAAAATGTGCAGGTTTAACCAGTTTTTCTGAGTTTTCATATAAAATCTCAATTGAATTTCCACAACAGAATGATAATAAAACTACCAGTAATATTTTAAGATCCATTTATGTTTTTTTTTATTTTCCCATTTATTAACATCCCATCGAAAAAATAACCATACTCTTGCAATTGTTCTTACTTTAAAAATGAAATGGTATTTCTTCTAAAATAACAACAAATCTCTAAATATTTAAGAGATAAAAAGATCACTGTCCTAAATCACTGGGGAAAAAAATCAGATCTAATTTTGAAATTCTGACTATTTTCTCAGAATTTTGGGACTAAAGTCTAATTTATACATCTCCGTCAGCTCCACGAGGGAGGACAAGCATGGAGGTATGGAGACGTTGTGCTCGTAGCAGAGGGCGTAGCGCGGTTCTGTGGTATCCTGTCATGTATCCGGTCCAGGATAGTGTGTTCATATTGTGTTTTTTGTATTTAAGAGACTTTTAACACGGACAGATTTGACCCTCATCCTCCTCCACCTTCTTGCACTCACCACCTCTAAACCCACGTTTCCCATCATTTCCACGAAAAAAAAAAGCTTGCTGTGTATATTTTCACTCCTCCAGTCACGAGGGAATAAAACATTTATATTGTTAGAGTTTTTCCGTGAGGTATTCTTCAAGCTGCTCCGTGTCGGCTCCTTATGTTTTTGAGCAGCACTGTAGACGACAGCGGCGTCTTGACCAATCACAAGCTTGCATTTTCTGTCTCAGCGGGCGGATGTTTAGAAAAGAGATCTTGACTTCCTCCGTCCTGCTGGAGAGCCCTCAAAAGCGTGGATTATGGCGTTGCGTGCGTCCGTCCCGGCGCGGACGGAGAAGTATAAATTAGGCTTAAGCTGTTGCTTGGCCCAATCTTCGAGATGGCTGCAGCACGCAGAAAGGGGCGGCGTCGGGCCAGTTGTCAGACTCATACCTGTAACGTTCAGCAATGCTCAGTTTAGGTACAGTCTGACCTTTCAACATCTATTCAACATCTGGTCAGAAAGGAGACACAACACTGCATGTGCTCCCTTTAAATGAGCCTGACTTCATACCAGCTGGGACTCACAGACTCTGCAAGTCTGAAAATTAAACAATAACTTTCTTTCCCAAGGTCCCATCTGTCTGCCTCCACAGAAGGAAGAACTTCAGCTCCAATCAATTGCTAAATTCGAGAATGATTTCTTAAATCAATATGAACTTCTTCCATGACTTATAATCTACATAATCATTAAATAAACATTTGTTTGTTACTACTTATAATAATTATAGTATAATGAAATGCTTCATTAATTTGTGCTCACTGAATAGATATGATGCTATGTTTGTCTACTAGAACCTTCCATGTGTTCAACATGTTTTGACGACGAGGTCCTCACACCTGCACTCACACAATAACAAGTACGGCTAAGTTAAACACTGACACACATAATATTAACCCAGTCAGAACATCCTGTATCAAGAAGGCGTGTTTCTGAGTTGTCTTGGTAACATCTCTCAAACTTGTCAGCCTCTGATTGGCTGTGCAAATCATAACATCAAAACCTTAAAATTGGATCATCCTGAGTGATTCGACAGTTCCAGAGAATCGCTTCAGGCCGGCCACTTGTAGAAGAAGAAGAAGAAGAAGATATCATTTCTATAGCACCTCTCAAGATAAAAACCACGAGGCGCTTCACAAAAACAAAAAATGTAAAAATATAAAAATAATTTAGAAAATGGTTAAAAATATATTTAAAATGAGCAAAAAATAGACAATTGTGATTTAAAGAGCAAGTGACGTCTAAATTAACTTTTTTTGCTGATGAACTGTATAAATGAGTGTCTAATAGTGTTTTAAATGTGTGTATTCTTTATTTTAGCATTTTGGTGCATTTTCTTTAAAAATTAAAAATTCTGTCTAAAAACCACAGTAATGCGCCACCTTCAGCTGAAAACATAGAATTTGAGTCATTTTGAATAAATTTTAGCCAATGGCTAAAGAGTAAAGTACTACGTAAACCAGTAGAGTACTACGTAGCAGCTCCGTGCCAAAGTTATAAAAGCAACGAGCGTCTCGGCCACGCCCTGTGGCGAGTTGGGAGTTGGATTTGCAAGCGAGTGTAGGAGGTCAGCGGTAGTTCAGCATTAGCATATAGCATTAGCATATCCTAGTCTTAGCATATCTTTTAGTGTTATAAATACTTATTTAGTGTTAGCTTGGCTGTTGGATATTGTAGTTTAGTTAGTGTTTGGCTGTTAGTGTAATTGGGAAAGTAGTTCGTGTTTAGTGCTCTATATCGTCTTAGTATTGGTGAGTAGGTGTAGTGTAGTATGCTTGCGGTGGCTCTGTGGGCATTTTACCCGCGATTCTGCACGTCTCCATTTGAAGAGGGAGGCTGTGCCCACCGTGGCTCTTCCGCGATTTAGATGCAGCCCACCGACTCTGCTCCCCCACCACGGCGGGCTCCAGTCTGAGGTGAGTAAGCTAAATAAACGTTTTAACATCTTCTAAAGACAATTCCCTTCCTAAATGCAAAGTCTGAGAGACGTGGTTCACTTCCTTTAGCTAGTCAGTCGGCAATTCTGCAACAGTGGCTCTAACTGACGCAGCACTAGTTGACAGACAGCATTACAGCGTGAAATCCAGCTTGTGACCCGGTTCTGTAAGGAATTCTGTTCAGGAGGTCACATTTCAGGCTCTCCACATCATATGTGACTGACTTTTACGTTATAATGATCACACACTAGGAATGTTATAAAGCGCCTATATAGGACAGTTTCTTTTGTATATTATCTGACTTTATAAACAACAACAACAATGTGCTTCTATTTTTTTTCAGGCTAAATCTACCCAAGACACTAGCTGTCAGACTGATTTAGCTGCAAGAATGCACTTGTCCAGGCTGACGTGAAGCCTTACCCGTAGCAAAGGTGAATTATTTTTAATAATCTTCTGTGTAAACATTTTATTATTACCTTCTAGTTTTAATTTATTTTACAGATTATTGTTACACGTGATTTTATGCTCTTTTAAACAT